ATATATATATATATATAGACTAATAATAGTATGCGAGAGTAATTTTAAAAGGTTAGAAAGTTTATTAACTATAGAAGGAAAATTTCCAAATTTGAAGACTATGAATATCTAAGAAAGATCATAGAAAAAAGTCAGATTCTAACAAATAAGATAAAGTATAAAATACTGAAGCACTCAAAAACTCAAAGGACAAGAGATTATCTCTATTGAATTGTTTTTTTAAATTTATGTATTTATTTATTTATTTATTTATTTGGGTACCTAGGATCAAACTCTGGAACTTGCACTTGCAAGGCAGGTGGTGGAACCACTGAGCTAAATTCCCAGCCCAAGAGATTATCTTTAAAGGTGCAATAGAAAGATGAAAATAAAGATTGTTCACCAACTAGACAACAGACAGGAGCCCAGAATGCGTTTGTTCAGAGAATGGGGGAGCGGGTATAAAAAGCACCTATTTCTCTGGAGTATTTGAGACAGAGCTTGAGAGTACAGTGGGAATGTGGATCAGGCCTTTCTGAACATATATATTGTGGCCTTATTAAGAAGAAAACTAAGCACATTGTATCTATCCATTCTCAAGATCACAAAGCAAGAGTAAGAGTTTATTCATTGGAGGGTTAGAGTAAAAATCAGGCCCCTAGTGTATTCTGAATCATACTACAAATGCTAAAGGCAGTCACTGCTGAACAATCACGTGAACTTCACAGCCCCTGTTCCTAGTTCCAGGAACTTCTGGGCTATCAAACTGCTGCAGTGTTCTGGAGAAACATCCTAGCTTCTTTTGTGTATCTTACTTAATCAACCTCTAGCTGTATGCAATCTCAATCACCACCTACCTGAGAAACTAAAGAGATGAGTAGCTTCTATATAACATCCAGAGGGCCCCAGCAATATATAACTCTAACAAACACCAAGATTAGCCACTCAGAGCATCTCAGCCTATAGAAATTAATTGAAATGCTCTGCCTATTTTCCTGCATTCTTGGAATTAGTCAAATGGTTCTTCCCACACACATTCATCAAAAGAAACTTTCTAGAAAGCTTCATTCACTCTCCTTCCCAAAAAGTACTTCACTGATACCAATTATGTCCCCTCAGATCTGAAAAATAGCTAGACAATATGTTGCAAAGAAGCTCTGTTCTCTGAGGCTAGTGGGAAGTAGCAAGGTGGTCTTGCATAACTCCTGTGCTACCCTTAGCAAGCATAAACTGGAAGCCTGCTCTTAGTGTTTTGAACCAACAAGGCCAAAGAGAGCAGGAAAGTGGCTATAACTACCTGCATGTGATCCCAGGAATCCACTAAGAAAAATAAAAAGAGTTTGGCCTGCCCTAGGAAGAAACTGGCTCTCCTACCATGCCTATGAGCAGTTGTTCTCAGAAGCTTGAACCACTATGACCTTGTAAAGCAGACCGATACTCTACTCACCCATGCACAGCTAAGGTAAGAAACTTGACAGACAAGGCTGTACAAACATTACACTAAAGCACCCACCTGATAACAAAAACAATGAAGCCTATTCAAACAATACCCTAGTACACAGCAATAATAGAAAAAATTCTATTGTGAAAGCTACTCTATAATACAATAAATGCAACTGACTCATTGGATTTAAAAATATCAAAGTGGGAAAACAAAGTAATATGACACATACAAAGGAACACAATGACTCTCTGGCAAAAGATTACAAAAGAAAATTATATTAATGATTTTCCAGACCACATATTTGGATTTTAGGAAATTTAATAATATCAAAAGAATACAGATTTAAAAAATCAATGATTGGGCCGGGGATGTATCTCAGTGGTTCTGTAGCCTGCCTTGCAAGCGCAAGGACCCAAGTTCAATTCCAGTACAAAAAAAAAAAAATTCAATGATATTGGGAAAGCAACTCATTATACAAAAAGAAAATTCATCAAAGAGATACAATACTCATAAAAGAGCCAATTGGATATTGTAGAGGTAAAAATTCAATCAATGAAATAAATCTTGTTGAGAGACATAACAGCAAAATTAATCAGGTAGAATGTAGGTATGTTCTGAGCTGGAAAAAAACATCTTTTGAAGTAGCTTGATCAAATAAAAGACATTTTAAAAATGAAAACTACTTTTAAGACATATGTCACCTCATTAAGAGATTGTGACAGTTAATCTTGATTATTAGCCTCATTGGATTGAGAAACACCTGGGATCCTTTCTCCCCACAACCCCGCCAACATTTGTTATTGTTTGATTTCTTGATGGCATCCATTCTTTATGGGGTGAGGTGGAATCTCAGTGTTGTTTTCACCTGCATCTCTC